GAGAATAATAAAGTAAAAACTATGTAGTTGAAGTTTATATATATGAGTGACAAAATAAGAATCACAAATGAACTAATTAAAATGGAAAGTGGCAAAGTTTAAGTGATAACAAAAAAAGGAAAGGTGCAAAGTTATAAGTGCCAATGTTTAATATTGAAGTTTACTTGTCTATATTTGTTTTTGTAAAATGTAGGCAGTTTACTTGTCTTATATTGGCACTTTACTTGTATTGTAAATTGTACTATTATGACAGTTTTACTCAGTGTAGTCAAAGTCGAGCGCTTGGGCGCTTAATCGCACCAGGCGCAGCGCACAGAAGCCCCAATGCTTGAAGAACGATCAGGCGATCCCCCCCTGCCTAAGGCGGAGTTTAGGCGCAAAAGCGCTGAAGCGCTAGAGTAATAAAAGGCGCTCGCTATTCGCGCCTGATAGGGGAACACATTTGTTTTAAGTTTACCGATACAGTTCAAACGTGTGGTCAAATAAGAAGCCCATATTTTTAATAAAGCCTGTCTAAACATATGCTAAACAACACAACATATACCTGCTCTGCTCTGCTCTACTCAAGTTACCTGTTCGCTCCTCCTCCTGTCCACATCAACCACAGAAGCTGGCAGCTGTAAGCTTTCTTCTCCATCGTACCCTTATCTTTCTTTTTTCTTTTTTCTGATTTCAGTATCTACTTCGTCTTATATACTCTATACAACTTAAACATATATATGTAAACTACCAGTATAATGGTCTAGCATGTGCAACACTCTTCATTGTGCCATTTTCTTTCTTCTTTATTTTTTCAGCATCCTTCTAATATAGTCTACTCTATTACTCTAGAAAACTAAAATCTAATGATGTTTTATTTCAGTCTGGAAGTTTAAGACTTTAAGTTATGAATGAATTCTGAATTTGGTTGTTTTGCTTTTGTGAATCATGACCTTATTTTGGTTAATCATGACTTTATTTTGGTGAAACACGACTTTTTTGTGAAAAACCTGATTTTTTATGTAGTTGGTTCAATATGGTGTTATATACATCATGTTTTATTATTGGAGAATAGTTTGTGTGATACTTTCTAAGCAATGAGCCTACATGAGTCAGGCGAGCGCTTTTTTACTCTATCTCTTGAGTGCGCCTCACAACTTTGACTACCTTGGTTTTACTTGTCTTAGATGTTGTATTGTTTTGGCAGTTTAATATTGACATCTTACTTGTCTATACTTGCATTGTAAATATAGGTAGGTAGTAGTATGGTGAAGTGTATTATTTTGACAGTTTACTTGGCTTAGATGGTGTATTGTTTGGCAGTTCAATATTGGTAGTTTACTTGTCTATAGTCTACACTTGGTTTTGTAACTACAGGCAGTTAACTTCATAACTTGTCTTTTATTGGCAGTTGACTTTATTTTGTATTCTGTTTATTTTTTATTGGCTACTCTTCAGTTCCTAGAAATCCTACTGGTTTTGTTGTAGAAAACACTATGAGGCTTGTATTTTATCATCTTTTCTAGCTTAATGCACGGAGTATGCTTTGAATGATACTGATGCATTTTTAAAGTTGTTTGGCACTTTGAGACTGTGATGACGCTGTTAAAGTTATCTTATCGGTGCTTAATTCATCTAATGTATTATTTGGTGTCCACAGGAGGCTTTTCCAAGTTGTTAACTGCCTTTCAAGAGACTATGCAGCATTCTCAATCATCTCATAATGGAGGCAGGGTCTCTAGTGCATCTAAAAATGCATCTACTAAGTTGCATTTCAAATTCTTAGAAGCAGTTGGGTTAAAAAAAGAAGAGTTTTTGGAACAGGAAAATATACAAAAGTGATCCTTCAAGATCGTGAAACAAGTGAGGAAGAGTTTTGTTCATCTTCACAACGTGCGTGTGATTTTTGTGCGGTTTGGGATGTACTCTTGAGAAATTTGTTAAAATCACAAGTTCATGAATGCCCATCCCATCGCTAATGCCACTTGGGGATGCGAGTTTGCTACATGAAGATCCCGATGCACCATCTAAGAGCTTTGACCAAACATGACTTCCATTTTTCAAAGAATGTCCGGTTTTTCTGGTTATCTCATTGCTCCAAAGACTCCACGGGCCACGATTTATATAATCTATCAATCTCTCATTGGTTGTGTACTTTAAAATTATGTACAAATTGTACATTTTTCAGATGACTATTTTCATTTTACTTTTATATAATATGTCTATGTATGTGTTTTTGTCTATCTATTTTGCGCGCTTGATGTCAAAGTTCACTGAATTACTCCGTATTAATATTCAATTTTATTACCATATCTTTTAAATTATTTTGAATTATCTTTATTTATTTTGAACAAGCAAAGCCGTTTCTGGCGGTTTTTTGTGATAAAATATTTGTCAATTGTCACAAATAATAGCGGTGGATGTTGCAACTTGCAAATTTGCAATACTAAATTTGGCTAATGTTTTGCAATGAAATTGACAAATTGTTGATCTGCCATAGAGGTTCTGCTAGTAATACATTTTGTTACTTATTTAGTTTAATTGAACCAGATGTAAATATATCAGACCAAATTTCGATAATCGTAAAATACATATATAATGGAGGTAAAGTAAACCAATCTAAACAATTTCAGATCATAAAGAACTCAAATAGATCAAATCAAATCAGAAAATTTTCATTCCAATTAAAAGAATCATAAATTGAATTCACTAATATACTACAATATTACACTAAATTGTTGTGACGGTTATGACCAGGGGTATAGCAAGGGGCCTTAATATGTCTTAGCCTGACCTACTCTAAATTTAAAAAATATATACTCCCTCCGTCCCATTATTATGATTACGTTGTGCTTTACGATGCTTGGCCGATGATAAAGTAAACAGATCTCTGTCCGCACTCAAATTATTTTGTAAAAAAAAATTACATATTTAAAAACTACATTAAAATCTTTACAAAGTCACAAAAAATAGGATCAAATTTGATAAGAATTTGATATATAAAATCAAAGATAAAAAGATTAAAAGTGATACGGAGTATGTGTTAACCAAATGAATAGAAACGGAGACAATAATAGTGGGACGGAGGTAGTATCTTTTATGTGTTAAAAATATTGTAAAATATTACTCTCTCCGTCCCATTAGAAGGTTCTCACTTTCTTTTTATTGGACGTCTCATATAAAGGTTCTTATTTCCATTTTAGGAAACAATTAACAATCTTAAGTGACAAATGAATCATTAAATGTTAACAACAATACATTTATAACATCACAATTATCAATACTAACTACTCCGTACATTATAATATATATCTTTTAAAATTATTTCTCAGAATATACTCCAAGTACTTTATTTAATTATTGCCTATGGGAACCTTCCAACGTGACGGAGGTGGTAGAAAAATGTCTTTTTACCCGCCAACTCTAGTAACTTTTCTAGCTACTCCACCACCTAGGTCATCATAGCCGATTAGCCGTCGCCGTCAGGAGTGTCTCTACCAACCTGGCTGCCACTGCCACCACTAATATCGAGTACAATTCTATTACTCTTTCTGTCTCTTAAAACTCCGTCTCTTAAAACTTTGCCAACTTTCTTATTTTGGATGTCCTACTAACTTTGTCACTTTTCATTTTAAGTAAAAAATTTGTGGTTCCAGTTAATTCTCTCTCATATGCACAAAACTCAACCACATAGTTTTACTTTAGTGATCCCCGTGCCGGTCAATCTTGGCAAAGTTTTAAGGAACGGAGGGAGTAAAACACTCAACTCTAAGAGTCCGTTTGGTAACCTTGTTTTTCGGTTTATCAAGCTTATCAACCAATATTTTCACTAAACGCGTAAATTTTGATTTCGCGCTCTTAATTATGTAATAATAAGAAAAAGTGAGGTTGTAGTACTCTTCTGGTTGTATTAATTGAAATTACTGTATATGACCATTTTAGATATTTTTCATATACTTTTTTTCTTTGTTTTATTAATAAAATATAATTTTCTCTTAAATCAGCAAAACCAGCTAATGCAGCCACTTCAATCGGAACATCATAAACTTCAACAAAATCACCCGATTCAGTCGATTTGAAACACTGGAAGAGTTCATTAAATTGGAGGGCTAGACTAAACTTTAGAAGGGTAAATTAAATCTTAAAAGGACAAGTATGTTGAAAAACATGTAAGGATGTTTTCTTTTGGACTGTTTTCAGTCCCAGATCAGACCAGACCAAACCGGACCAGACTTCCGTAATAATAAAATACATAGAGACCAGACGTTTACTAGACCAGACCAGTTCAAACCAAACCAGATCAGATCAGACCTGACCAACAAATTTGAGTCCAAAAGAAAACATCTTAAATAGGCTAATTACTAATTAGGCTTGGGAAGGAATTAGAATAATGGAGATGTAACTTGGTATCAAAAGATAAAGCGGGCTAAATTAATACAACGTAATAAGGAAAAGGTAGAATGCACTAATTAATACGTAGCAGATACTTCCCTTCTATGTTATTTTTGTGTGGAGTAGCTGCATGTTGAAGCTGAGTCCAGTTATGTGATTACTTGTTGTTTGTCCTATATGACTATTTCATATTCGTCTTGTGCTAAAACAAAGATGTGCTAGTGATAGACAGTTGAGTCGCGCAACTGATAATTATGACCTTGACGCCGCGCCCTTTATTAAAAATTTCAAGTTTCGCTAATATTGTTTTGAAATTTCAAAGGTAAAAAACGGAAAACAATACCAAACGAGTCCCTAATTATATTATTTGTGTTATTTGATTGATTGCATACTGATTTATGTTCTCTTTCTTTATAAACTTTTCTTTCTCATTTTGACGTTGTGGTTAACATCATTTGTTCCTACTTTCTCTCTCCTCTGTATAACTTTAGATCATACATTTATGACACATTGGCCACCCAACAACTCTTTGGAACCAACCAGCCCCCAAGGCTAGATGTCATACTCAAGAACAAAATATCGTATCAACAAGCCATTTAAAGTATTTAATTGACAATAGATGCGGGAAGTGACTTTGTTAATAATGTATTTAACTAACTTCTCGATTGAAACTTAAAGAAGAAATTTTGGTGGACATAATCTACATTTCATATGAAACATCTTTCACAAAACTTTAATGAAAAAATTGACCCGGAAGCACCAAGGTCTAAAATTATAAATTTTAGGCCTACTTTATACTACTCTATGAGTGGGGTGTATGAAAATGGTGTGTACAAGAAACCATCACAGGCCGCGTGTATGAGCCGTGTGTGGAAATGACATGTACAGTAAGCAAGGCTGATGGACTAAATAATACGTAGTACTACCTCCGTAACGCTGGAATATTCCCAAATGGAAAGTGGGTGAGATTATGAATAGTGATAGGGAATATAAATTATTGAGGACATGATGAGAAGATAATAAAATTGTGTGGTGAAATGAAGGATAAATCCAAAAAAGTAGGTGTAGTAGTGTATTATTTTTAAAATTATTGAGGATATGATGGAAAGATTTAAAAATGGGAAGATTATTTAATCACGATTAAAATAGGGAAGTGAGAAAATCTTTACGTTACAGAGGCTAGTTTTTATGGATATTCATAGAAGTACACATAAAATTACCCAGAAAAATATAAGTAATACATGTAAAAAGGGATCAAATTGGGGGAGAATGGCTCATCGTGCGTGTGTGTAAATGAACTTAGAGTCGAAGAGACAGGTCAAGATTGTGCAGTTCTGCAATGTCACTCTTGCAATAGTTACTTGACCTACCTGCTCGAGAACTATCACTGGTTGTGCTATCTTGAAGAGAAATCACTGTTCTTGATCTTTCTATGCTATCACTTTGCAACACACTTATTGGACTAATCTGGCTATTCCCTCCAAACAGCTTCCCCACAGATGGCCTTTGGCTGATTCTTTGTCTGGACCATCTGTCATTTGCAGAAGCAAAAAGTAAATCAGAGGAAGGCTTCAAACTCATGGAGTGTGCCTGAAGAGGCATGTGAAAACCTCCTTGTAGAGAATAAGAAGACAAGCTGGAAAAGGGTTGATGATGGTTATGGGCAGAGTCACCAAAAGCAGCAGCAGCAGCCATGAAGTATTGACCCAACCTCTGTTCCTTCTTAGCCAGGGTCCTCTCTCTCTTGTGTGCATTCTGGTGACCTCCAAGTGCCTGTGAGCTGTAGAACTTTCTTTGGCAATATTTGCAGGAGAATACTCTTGGGTCATCTTCTGATGATGGGCATTCTTGCAGATCTTGTTCTGATGAAACTTGAGATGCACTACTCTCAAAACAATCAATAAGGTTAAGCTCTGGGTTCATCCTATGATCTGAACCATCATCATCTCCAGTGGTACTCCATATATGTGAGGAGGAAGAGGACACATCTTTAAGATGAAGATCCATCAGATGATGATGATGATCAGGAGTCTGTTTCCTCTTTCTGTTGAAAGAAGTCATTACAGAAGTTATTGATGAAAGTGGATGCTTGACGTGCTTCATGTGTGAAAGCACTTTTTTGGATACTAGTTAGAGCACAAAAAGAGGTTTATCAGTTCATGGAAAGATACACGAGAGTGTACTACTTGAGTTGATCCTCTTCATACATGTATTTGTAGTAGAGCTTTTCTATACAAATTAAATTAAAGTGGCCTGTATTAATTAAAGAGGCCGGACAACTAGTCTCATAGGGATGGGATGGCCATACTATACACTAATTAAAAAGTTCATCCCATATGATTAAGACGTGAGACTTCTCTAAGAAAAACGCCAATAATGTTTTATTTAATTAAAGGTTTAATCATTCAACCCATATGCCCATAGATAATCATCTAACCAAATTTGCATACTTGAACTTAGTGATAAAGAATTAGAGATTTGGAGGTGGTGGCAGTTTGTGCAGCTACCTGACTCCATAGTTTCTAGAAGGGGCGCTAATCGAGCGAGTCAAGATCGAGTTTGACTCAGATAATCGAACCGTGCTTAATTAAGAAAAATCAAGTTTGATCGAGTTCAACTCGAATTTCAGTATAGTTGAAAAATATATAGCTTGACTTGAGTTCAAGTACGGAGTAGTTCGAATTGTATTCGAGTTTATCTGTTTTAAAATGATATATATTCAAACACAAAGTTTGATCTATTAGATTGAATACATGTGTGCAATCATCAATAATTAAGCTTAAGATGAATTGAGCGTGATTAATTATGCTTAAGTTTGCTTGATTGTTGCCTAATAAAGCCTAGAGTCTCCAAAAACACTTTTAGAAACATTGAGTAAAATATCAAGTAGCACGCATGTGAATCTCTAGTATATTTTGAGTAGAAGATAAAAAAAATGTTATATGTATGGATCCATGTTATGGATACATACATGATGTAATTTCATGTGGATGAATTTAAAAAATCAATACTAACTCATAACCGAGCAGCTCTTACGAGCTTTTTGAGCCGAGTTTTTATATAACTAGAGTTTGACCTGATTTTGTTTTAGTCGAGTTTATATTGAGTTGAGGTGGATTCAAACAAAAAACAAAAGATTAAATCTTGAGTATTTTGCGAGTCAACTTGCTAGTGGATTGGAGATGCTAGGGAGTAAATTTATTAAAAGTTGTCGATCTCCTAAATAGGAGTAAAAAAATTTTGGAATGCAAAAATATGAGTATTGTATTTTTATTTCTAAAATAGGAGTCGTGACTGTCATGCTTGAAAAATAATACCATTGATCACAGGAAATAATGTCATATTAATGTCTAATGCTACAAATATTTTGATAATAACGACCTCAAAATCACAATACATATTGTCATGTTACACCTTTTTCAGGAAGAAAAATACAACAATCCTTTTTTAAAATTTCGAAACATTAATATTCTAATTTCGAGAATTTTCCCTAAATTTAATTAGTCGGAGTAATTTATTATAGAGATATTATCCAAAATGGGACTAAAAAAGTTTGGAAATTCCAAAATAGGACTTCCATGTTTTTATTCCCAAAATAAGACTAATTATTGTCATGTTTTGGCAGTACCAGACTTCAAACATGGCAGTATTTTCCAAATTTGGCAGTAATTAGTCCTATTTTGGGAATAAAAGCATGACAGTCCTATTTTGGAATTTTCAAACTTTTTTAGTCCCATTTCGGGAACTTTCCCTTTATTATATTATAGATAGTACGTATAATGAGAGTACTTTTATGAGTTTTAGTCTTGGTCTTTTTAGAAAAGTTCACACATGTTTATTCTTCTACAGTTCTACCTCTATAAATACCTTAAATGTATCTTAATTTTTTTGAATTAAAAAGTATAGGAGGATTTGTATGGAAAATTTGAAATATTAGCATTATTAGTTTTCTAAAGTGACTCATTTTGACTCTAAGAGCCCGTTTGGTAGCACCAAAATCGGCTGTTTTGGCTGATTCTGCTGAAATTTATGATATTCTGGCTGGAGTGGCTGTTTTGGCTGATTCTGCTGATTTAAGAAAAATATATTTTAAAAATATATTTTATTAATAAATTAAAGAAAAAATTATATGTAAAAATAGCTAAAATGGTCCTCTACAGTAACTTCAGCCAATACAGCCAGAAAAGTAACTCCAACCTTACTTTTTCGGCTTATTACACAATTCAGCGCGCGAAAGTAAAAGTTACGTGTTTGGTGAAAAAGCTGGCTGATAAGCCTGATAAGCCGAAAACAGAGTTCTCCAAACGGGCTCTAAAAAAGTGACTTGTGTTGACATTAAAAAAGTTGGCACAAGCAATTTTTAGTTTGGGCGGAGGAAGCATATTTCCATGTGTGTATGTCACATCGTATTTTTTGTTTATGCAATTACATACGTACTCTGTAAATTTCATTCGTTCTAGAAACATACTCCGTACCTATGGTCGATGGATTTATAATCTATCACATCCATCCCAAAATTTAAATTACATATTGACTAAAATTAATATAAATTTAAATAAAATAGAGGATAATTTTTATTCCACAAAAAGATTGAAAACGTAGTTTCAGTTTAAAGGAAGTAAATTAAAAAGTGAAATAAGAAATAAAAATATAAAGTGGCGGAATGGAAAATTAGATAAATGTTTAAAAAAATTGGACACATATTTTATAAAATGTGAAGAGATCGAGTAATTGGTAAAAAATTGATGAGCAAAAATAAGAATATATTCAGGCACGTTTTTTAGATAAATGTTCAAAAATATAGTGGCTACGTTTATTATATGGCTTTATTTATACATCTAAGATCATATTAACCTCTCTTGAATTAAAAAGTTTAGTTTCTTATTGAAAATCTAGTTTGGAGCGTTAATTAGCTAGATTCTACCTCATCAATGTTATGTCAACATCATTTGCCTTGTTGGCTTGGCTTGGCTTGGATTTTTTGTACACTCTGCTAGCCTAGCATGTTGAGCATATTTATAGGCATATTTGATTAACTTGACTAAAATTTAAACACAATTGTTTGAACAACTAATTAATCATACAACATGCTGTTCAATAAGGTTTTCTATTATTGATACAAACAAGACTTAATCTGTCTCATTTTATGTTTGTGATGATCGGATTAGATATAACTATGAGTTGTGTCAAGAACATTTTTATATTCCCTTTCATGTTCACACACGTAAAATTGTATAGGCAAAATTTTGTTTGAATAAATAAAAACCTTGTCGGAAAAAAACTCTTACTATATAATGGTGTTGTACACATTAATTATTCATCATTACACTCAAAATTTTATATAATTTTCACTCCTGGATGGAATGATTCAATGTAATCAAGTAAAGACCTTAAGACAATCAAGCCAAAAGTGAAGATATTATTCTCTGCAAGGTATTCATTCATTCTCTGCAAGATATTTTTCAAATTTCATATTTGGCCGCTCCATAAATCGCATTCAAACATTGCATGATACTGTACGTAGTACGTATTCTTTTTCCTCCTTGCAAACGCTAACCCAAACTTATATGAGCTGAAATTAAGAACCATGCATGTTCTGAGAACACATTTATTTTTTTATGGATAAAGTGTATTGAGGACTAAATTTAGAGAAAGAATGTACCATAACACGAGCATATACTATACCACCAGTTGTACGGTGCCAGCCGTACAACCGGTGACATTTTTGCAATTTTGATGAAAAATATGATTTCTCTTGAATGAGCATTAACACAATTGTGTGGAACATCTAGTTGGTTCGTTTGAGCAATGTTCTTTGCTTCATATATTCTAATTCGTTTTCTTTTATTATTTTTTCGTTTATAAAAACTATAAAATTATGTCTTTAATCAATTCCAATTAATTTCAATATGTGATTCTAATGTAATATGATATGTTTGAAATGTGCAACATTTTAAAATGAGCAAAAAAGAGGTACTAAATAAAAAAACATAACTTACAAAATGAGTATCAAAAAATTCAAAACCTCATTTGTGTATGCTCATTCATTTTGGGCTTTATACTCATCGAGTTTAACATATATAATACTTCCTCCGGTTTTATTTGATCTTCACACTTTGACTTCACACAAAATAAGGAAAGAAATTTGACTTTACTGTAGAGTACACTGTTGAGGCAGTGTTTGACACTGTTTGGCACTGTTGAGACACTGTTGAGACACTGTTTGACACTGTTTAGCACTGTTTTGATGTAGATTTCTTTGCCAAAAAAGGAAATAAGGAAGTGTGAAGTTTATTTTAGACCGTTCCAAAAAGGAAAGTGTGAAGTTTATTAAAAACCGGAGGGAGTATAATATGATACATTTGAAATGTGCAACATTTTAAAATGAGCATTGTACTAATACCAAATGAGCATACATTACATATGAAATGAGAAACCAAAAATTCAAAAAGCTCATTTAAAATTACAACACGCTCAAGTTTTCTTTAGTGTACTGATAAGTCCGTATTTCGACATGCATTTGATGTGTGTTGGGATCGGCTTTTGATGGGTTTTCTAGCTTTAAGGTGTTACAAGTCTCAATTTTAGCTCAAGTTATGTTACCAGGCGTTGGTTCGAGTTTTGTGTTGTTTGGAGTCAAAATCAGGAATTTAGAGTCCGGCAACGGTGCTTGAGGAGCAATCGGGAAGAGTTAGTTGGAGAGCGTTCGAGAAAGACTTGAGAGTTTCGGAGGCCACCAGGAGGTTCACGACGAAGATTTGATGAATTGAAGAAAAGGCCTTTGGATTGATCAAGGATCGATCGGGAGCAAACGGGGAAGGAAATAGCAAGAAAACGGTTCTAGAGCAGTCCGCGCGCCCCCCGGGTCGATACCGCACGCCCCGCGAGTGATTCTGAGAGAAAAAAAGTTAAGGGGTCTGAACCGCACACCGCGCGGCCGAAACCGCACACCGCGCGGTCCAGAAATAGCCCCTAGAAGTACCCGCACTGTTGTATAGTGTGGGATCCGCACGCAATGCGGACGGAACGAAACACGGAGCATGTTAATTTTCTCTCGCGGCCGCACGGTGACCCGCAGGGCGTGCGGTCGACCTTGTGGTCGTGCGATTCAGCCAATTTTCGCGTTTTTTCTATAAATATGCCCCGATTTGCCTGTTTTTGACTTATGAGCTTAGAGAGATAAACCCTATTTCGACTTTTGAGAGCTTTTCAAGCCT